CCCCAAAACCCCAAAACCCCAAAACCCCTTATATAATGTAGGCCATTGAAAATATTTACGATCGTGGATTTAAACGAATAAATGATCGTCTATGGTATTCATAAATTGCCACAGCAAGCCAAATCAATGAGGGATAAGGTTTAATTAGAAATGTTACATAAATAGCTGGAAATTGATTGCAAAGCAAGAAAGAGATGAAGGAAAAGGTAGTCTCAAATAAATAAAGACCTTTGATAAAAATGGTTCAGAGCTTTATCAGTCAATAAAGCCTACATTATTCCTATTGAAGTAAAAATATTTCCAGAAGTAGGAACATTCATATAAGAGTTGTTGCTAGATTAAAATATTTACAAAATGACTAAATTAATATTATTCTCCTCCCTCACTTATCTCAGAATATCTTGTGCATAATCGACTGACAACTTTGCAGTGAATTATCCAGTCATTATTATTATATTCCAGGGTTTATAGTATCCAAAACGGTCCCGACATGTCATTTAGGTCCTTCGACTCCATTATCACATAATCATTAATTATCTGACTGAATCCAAGTATTTCAACGTTTTTGGGGTCTGTATGATTTCGATAAATAAATTTTTAGATTGATGTGGATAGTTATACTGAAGTTAAATGTGTCCACAAAAAGATTTTAAAAATAGCCGATGAACACTTTCCATCCTTTGAAAGCTACAAAGATGTTATTTTAACACAAGGAGAGGCTTCTTCGAAATATTGAGAACGCTCTAAACTTAGGCTTAGTATACCATATCATTTCTACAACACATTTAGTTAGAGATTTAGAATTAACTGTTTGTGTCGACCTACAATTTTGTATCATAACAGTTGTTAGAAAATAAAACAAAACAAGAGGTTTATCTGTATCCTCTAATATCTAAGGGCTTCCAATTTATCACTACTTAATCTAATGTTTCTTTTATCCTATTTCTGAAGCACACTTCCCAAACTTTTCACCAGGGTCCTACCTTCTTCCAACCCCAGTCTTATACCTATTCTAAAAATCCTCTAAATGCAAACTATCAAATAAGGCACAAGATTGTCATAAGAAGAATTTAAATTTCTTTACAAAAACTTATATCTTCATTACCGCTCTTGTCTTTTCTGGTTTATACAGCCTCAAATTAACAATTCCCAAGACATGCAATCCTAATTTCTCCCTTCAAGGATGCGGCTTCCAAAAGATGGGTCCCAGACTCTGGAGTGAAGCAGTGTAAGAGTAAAGTATTCAGGTGTTAATTAGATAATATTAAGCCGTTAGAGCTCTTCTGATCGTACTTGGTCTCTTTTGGAAATTACTGTTTAGCAATCTTGAACTTAGGGCTAGAGAGATTTTTATCGTAGTTATGAGGCTGCCGTTTGCATGTCTTTGTTTAACCGAAGCTTCTCAAGCTTTTGACGTAATGTGTAAGGAGACTTGTAGACGCCTGGAGCTGATTTAAGGTCGGATATTTTGGGGTGGAAAGAATCGAACTTGTTGATCATGTATCCAAACACGTTCTTCATATCTTCATTCATTGGACTAGTTTCTTGGGAGATTCAAGTATTGAAAGCGAGAGACTTGTCTTTTGCTCGATTCTTCAGTTGTTTGATTTTTCTCTTCTTATCAGAAGTCTGATTTAGTGCTGGCTGAGCTAATCTTTTCATATCTGGAGAAAATGACTAGATTCTTCTATTAAATCTAGTGAAAGGAGCCTTCCTTATCTTTCTTGGCAGCTAATAACTTCCTAACATCTTCTTAGCTCAGAGAGAAAGTGAGTTGAGATTAAAAGTGCTCAGAGGAACTGGAGATCGTACTCTTTTCCAAGAAGTATCCTGAGCTTTCTTTCTAAATCCTCTCAAGTTTACTTTGATATTCATTTGTCTGTTTGAAACTGGGGATGGACTCTTCGAAGTAAGCCGCTTTCTATCAAAATTATTATTATCTCCTTCTAAAAATTCTTACTTTGTTTGAGTCTTATAATTCTTGTATTCTTTCTTCACTACTTGTACAAGTGGCTGATTGAAAGATGTTTCTAGTTTCTTGATACTTCCTTCCATTTTATTCTATGATTATATGAGTTTTCAGTTTAGTAAATATTCCTGATACTTAATCGATGAATCAACACTTCAAAGTTACACTTTGGCTTATGACTAGATAGGAGTGCTAATTCTTTTGGGACTCAGGTACACTAAATTTATAAGTCCTAAATAAAAATAAAAGGGATAAAACTATTCTTCTGTAACTCCTAAACTAGGACAAATTATTATATGTGTGATTTCCTGCCTAAGTTATTGCCAGGATTGTTTGTAATACAGCAAATATATTGTATGCCAAATTATGGTAGAGATATTTTCAGGAATCATGTCTCTACTCGATAAAACAAATTTGAGAAAACTTCTCCACATCTTAAGCAATCATATAGATTGATTCTTGCCAATCTGAGCTTGCTTTACTCAGGATTCGTTGACCCTCATATGTTTTGATGACATCCACATTTTATTATTTCAATTATGTTTTACTGGCTAGGGGTTTTGGGGTTTTGGGGTTTTGGGG